ATTTATTTACTTATTTATTAATTAATTTATTTTTTGTTTTTGGTTTTTTTTTTGGTTTTGGTTTTTTTTTCCGGTACCAGGAACCGAACTCACGACCTTGTGCTTGCCAGGCAAGCGCTTTGCCGCTGAGCTAAGTCCCCAGCCCTAATTAATTTATTTTTATTTTCACAGGGCTCACAGCTAAGAGTTTGTTTTGAGTCTCAGAGGATACTTTGGGCTTGGACTTCTCAGTAATGATGAAACTGTTGACTTTGGCAACTCTTAGAGATGAATTAAATGCATTTTGCATACAAATGCACATGAGTCTTTTGGGGGCCAGGGGCAAAATGTTATGGCTTATGTCCCCTAAAAGCCTAACACAATCATAGGTGGGGCTTTTGGGAAGTGATGGATTATGGGAGTATTATAGCTGGTTTTCTGGTAAGAGGTGGGGTTTGTTCAAAAGAGGCTTATCACTGTGGGAGTGATGCAGAGGGTATATGTGTCTTCCCAGTTCCTCCCTTGACTCTCTGCTTCCTGTCTGCCATGGCTTTGTGCCATGCTGCCCTACCTGCATCCAGCCAACTATAGTCTAAAACATAAGCCAAAATAAACACTTCTCATTTAAGTTGTGGGTGTTGGGTATTGTCTCTCAGGGACAAGAAAAGTAAATGAGACAGTGCCCCTGATAGTCCCTTTTTCTGCATTCTCTATAGTCTCTCAGTAAAGACACAAAGATTTGGTCAATATTATGATGCTCACCTGCTTTGCACATGTAGAAGGTGCCTGTCAGGTTGGTTTCAATCACAGCATGCCATCCCTTTGAACTGATGTTTTCAGCAGGAGATAAGAACTGGCCTCCACCATTGTTTACCAAGAAATCGATCTTACCATAAAGAGCTAAGGTAGATTTCATCAAATTATTCACCTAAAAAAATTAAATGTTTAATAATCTAACTTGCTACTTAGACCTATCACATGTCCTATCAGGGTGGACAGAGCTTACAGTCTCTCACAGTGAACAGTAACTGTAAGTACTACAACCATGAATATGAAGTCAGCATGAATAAACCTAACAAACTTACAACGATGAATAATTTCCCAGTGTTCAATACCCACTGGCCATAAGGCTAAAGTTTGTACTTTTGATGACATGTTACACCCAAGCGTCTGGAACACTTCTAAGTATGGCAGGCTCTGGACATATTAATTTGTAAGTACCAACCTCAAATAATGGATAGTGATGAAATCAGGTAAAAATGAACATTAAGAAATGTCTTATAGGGCAAAAGACACAGAAGGAAGTCCCAAGCTGAGACCTTGTCCTTGCTTGGCCCCTCGGTCTCTCCTCCTACCTTCTCCTGAGGCCACTGGCTCAATAAATCATGAGCACAACAGTCTGCATACAGTCTCTGTTTCTAGTGTTCCTCATCTGAGAACTACCCCAGGAGAACCTGAGGTACCACCAGGATCCATAAACAAGCATGGTTAGCAAATGGTACAGCTATCTGTGCATTACCTCCTCTTCTTTTCTGATGTTGCACTGTATGGGGGTGACTTGAGCCTTGTTGCTGAGAGGCAGAGTGGCTTTCAGTTCCTCTGCAGCAGATGTTAGTCTGTCAAAGTTACGGGATGCAATGACCACATTACACCCTGTGAAGCAAAAAGCCAGAGAGCAAGTGAGTATCTTTTAGGAATTGTGCAAATTTCAACAATAATAATATATTGACAGTATTTTGTATGTTTCTGTATTCAGACTACTTTTGGTAAGTTTTTCATGAGGAAATAAAATGCTTTAATATTTAAATATTAAATATTTAATAATAATTTAATAATTAATTAATAATTAATATTTAACATTTTAAACTAGTGTGGTAAAGATATTATTTTAGTATTTTAAAATTTTATTTTCACTTGATAAGTAATTGCATATCTTTAGAGGTACAGTATGATATTTTTATACATTTATCCACTGTGGAATGATCAAATCAGTCTATGTAACATACCTGAACTTCCATACTTACCATTTTTTTTTCCGGTAAGAACATTCAAAATCCACTCTTTCAGTAATTTTGAAATATATAATAAATTACCTTTAGTTATAGTCACCATGCTGTGTAATAGATTAATAGATTATTCCTCTTGTCTAACTAAAACTTTGTACCCTTTTCAGCAATCTCTCCCCACCCAGTCAAACTGCTTTGGTCTAATTTTACTAGTTTTTGTTTCATTTCCTTGTACATTTATAACTTATGGTATAAGAAATTCTAGTCTTTGACAAAAAATTCTTGAAAGTCATGAAACAGTTGTAATTTCCCCCACTGATTACTAAGCTTGCTTTGCTTGGTTTGAGTTTGAACAGTTACTGTCTTGGTCTCACAAATGCCAGGCAAAGCAGGGAGTACCTATAAACTGTGAAGTGGACTTTACATTCTATGTAAAGTGGAAGGTACACTACAATAGGCCTAATATGTGTACTATAAAACCATAAGCCACATCTTTACAATAAAGATGCTTTATAGGTAAACAGTTAAAAAAGGAGATAATGGGAAAAGTAAAAATACTAAATAATGCACAAGAGAGCAGAAAACAAGAGAAATGGGAACACAGAACAGATGGGAGAAATAGAATAAAAATAACTGTATGATACATTTAAATTCAACTGTACAGAAATTCACATAGCAAACGTATTGTCCAAACACCCCATTTAGCCACACAAGATTGGATGAAAAAGCAACATCTAACTATGTATTGCCTACAAAAAACACACGGAAAGTTAAAGACACATACAGGTTTAAAAGTAAAAGAATGGGAAAAAGACATACTCTGCTAATACCAATGAAAAGCAAATTATATTAATGGCTATATTAATACTGAATAAAGTAGACTTTAGATCAAAGGATTTCCTCAAGGAAATTCCATAGATAGGAGTCAATTACCCAAGGGGACATATTGGTACAGGCTATTTGGTAGTTTCTGAAAAGGTTAAATATTCATGTCTTACATATGTGAGATGTTACATTGCAGATATTCTGGTAGCCTCAAAGCAGAAAGAAGGAAGAGCTAACTGCTTCTGAGAAGCCTAGTAACCCTCTTCCCTCTCCTTTAACTTCACCGTTCCTTCTACATGCTCCCATATCTCTGTCTTCATGTTCATACTGCGTTTAACACTGAGCTGTCTCAGACTGTAGTTACCCGTTTACTTAACAGTCCTTGCTGGAGGTGTTATGCTGTCACACAGTCCACTCCAACAGTCACACATTGAAGGCATAAATGAAGTTAATGAAGGCCATTGGGAACATGACTCTCCATTTGGCCAGAACTATGTTAGTAGTATAGGACAAGATGGCTAGTGCATCTTAGAAATAAAGCACTTTTAAAACTACTTTTTTTTTAGCCAGGCAAGGTGACGCATGTGTAGTCCTGGCTACTCAGGAGGCTGAGGTAGGAAGACTGAGACCAGCCTGGGCAACAGAGCAAGACCTTATCTCAAAAAACAAAGAAACAAATACAAAAATTGAGATTTTTTTAATTAAAAAACTATTTTTCAAATTTAATTTCAAGTTTTTCAATTTAATAAACCCCCAAATGGTGATAACTTGGGAATTTTAATGGGAAATGTGAGCATTTCTTTTTGGAGACAACGTCTCTCTATGTAGTTAAAGTTGGCCTTAAACTCATTATGTAGTCTAGGCTGGCCTTGAACTTGCAGCAATTCTCCTGCCTCAGCCTCCCCAGTGCTGAGATCACAGGTGTGTGCCACCATGTGTGGCTTAACCTGAGTATTTTTTAAAACAAACATGAAAAAACATTGCTTTATATAGCAACCATTGTTAATTTCCTATTGTCTTATTTTGAAATTCTGTATCATTTTTATGCTGTTTTGTTTTGACTTTGTTGTTATTTTGCTTTTTCTTTTTAAAATAAAAATAAAAAAGACAAAACATTGCCTTGAGTTCCTAATAAGATAAGTCTAACTTCAAAAAATAATCCAATATGCCAGATTTATGTATAGTTTTTAATAAGCTTTATTCCTTTCTTTGTTTGCAGAACATGTTCACATAAAAAATATTTGATACTGGCAAAGTGGCACAGACCGTATAATCCAAGCTAGTTGGGAGGCTGAAGAAGGAAGATCATAAATTCAAGGTCAACCTGGGCAAGATGACAAGATTCTATCTCAAAATAAAAAAAATTTTAGCCAGGCATGGTGGTGCTCACTTGTAATCTCAGCACTCAGGAGGCTGAGGCAGGAGGGTCATTGTGAGTTAGAGACTAGCTTGGGCTACGAAGTGCACTCAAACCAGCCCGAACTGCATAGCAAGACCTTGTCTCAAAAAGACCAAAAAAAAGAGAAAAGAAAATTTTTTAAAAAGCCAGGACTATAGCTCAGTGGTAAAGTGCTTGTCTAGCAATGGAAGACCCTGGGTTAAATCCCCAGTGCCATGAAGAAAGAAAGAAAAAGAGAATTATTTTTAGAAAAATTGCTAACAATGTTACAAACTTTATTTTAGTCCTTTTTTCCATATATATATATATTTTTTTTTTAGCAAAATTAAGTATTTTCTTTAGAATCTCACTTTTTCCAATTATAGGATATGCATTTCTCCACATAAAGTCTTCAGTAACAGGATTTAACTGTCTCAAAATGGGTATTTAGGTTATTTCTAAGTTTTCCCCACTCAAATAACACTACATCTTTGAATACAAATCTTTGTTTGTCCAGTCCCTTAGAGTAACATTCCAAGAAAGGTCATAGAGTATGAATACCAAGGATTTTGGATCTTTTTTCCAATTTGCCCACCAGAAACGTAATAATTTATATTCCTTCCTGCTGTTTTCATTCTCTTATCAACATTTCATTTCCTCCAATGTTTTTAAGTTTGTTATAAAAACAATACCTTATTTTGTATTTAGCACCAATAAAGTTGATTGTTTCCTTAAAAACTTATTGCCTATATGTAGTTCCTCTTTTGGAATGTTAGCCTATATTTCTATTTGTATCTCGGTTCTTTGATTTACTTGCAAAAGCTCTCTCTGTAGTGAGACTACTTTTCTTATGTGGTAAATATTTTTCTTCATATACCTTCAATCGTCGTTCACATTTTTTAACTCACTGAAGATTTATATTTCCATAGAGATAAATTTAACTGTGTTCCCCTTTGCGGCTTCTTTCCTTGTGTATGTTTTCTAAGCTCGTTTCTCCATCCATGGGAGTAAATATTCACTCTACTTTGTTGCTGGTTGTAACAGATTGAGAAGATAAGACAGGAGTCTTTTAGGTAAAGGAAGTCTCCACGTGTTTCCTAATTAGTAAGATTAGGCAGCATTTAGAATGGACTAATTTTCAATAGGAACCTGCAATTTCTGGAGTTTCCCGGCGCAACATCTTTGGCTCTCAACCCCTTGACCTTTTACTTAGTGTCTCATCTGTCAGTGCTTCCCTAGGATGTCCGATTTTCTAGAGAGATCGTCTCTATCTCCCCGCTCCTGGCTCACTTCTACAGTCCCTTTGTTTCGCACTGTACCTGGCCGGGGGGCTTCGTGCGCCCCGGGGACGGCGAACCCAGGTAACTACAGCCAGATCTCTGCGGACCCTGGTCCCAGGCCCAAACCTGCTCCGTACCCAGGTGCAGGAGCTCCTTGGCAATGGCTTTTCCGATGCCCGTGCCCCCGCCAGTGACGATGGCCGCATAGTTCTGCAGCAAGCCGGGCGCCAGACAGCTCTTGCCCTTTGTCCAAGAGCCCATGGCGTTGAGCTTCAGAGTGCGCAGACCGCGCTGCTGGTGCAGGTCACCCGAGCCTGCAGATGGGGGCGGGGCTAAAGACCCGCGCCCACGTGACCGGCTGGGCTGCTCTGCCCTTGGCCCCGCCCGCCGAGGCGGCAGCGCAGCATCCTCCCAGGCTGGACCGCTCCCTGGTGGCCGCCTCTCGCAGTCTGCATCCTCCGTAGGCGTCGGTCCCTGGGCATGTGGGTGAGACTCCTCCTAAACATTTTTAAAAATTTATTTTAAAAAATTTTGATATTATTTGGGGAAAGGGAAATGCAAAAAATAAATAATACAAAGCAAGGATTGTTGTATTTTAAAAATTCAATCCTCTGGGCCATAGCTCTCAGGGTTAATTAAAATTAAATCTCTAGTGCATCTGGATAAAGAAAGGCTCTGGCTCCTGGGCCTTGCTGCGCCCGCCCGCGTTGGAGTTCCGGGCTGTGTTTGGGCTCCAGCTGCTGTGTGTCTCTGGCTGGGAAGGGGAGAAGGGGAAGGCCTAGATGAAGGGGAGGAAATCAGCTTCCAGACCTTTTCATCCTCGGGGAGGGACCCCTGGGGAGGGTGCTTAGGGGTAGAGGAGGTGCAGTCTGGTTATCCACAGATCCGAGATCATAAATGATTTAAAAAGCATTTCTGGCCCATATCCACCTCATGTGTGCCCCACCCAGGTAGGTAGAAAACCTTGACCAGAACAACCTTGACCAGATTTTCGATCTGATCCCATTCAGTTGGCACAGAGTAGATCAAAAAGGAGATCTTTCGTTGGAGGGTATAGGCTTCCTGCAAGACTCATCTGTAGGTTTATGTGTGAGAGCTAGTCTTCTAGTTCATTTCTTAAGCATACTGCTCAGCCTGCTGAGGATGGGGGAAATTTCTCATCTGCGTGTTGCTGCCCAGTAACAGGGATTCATTATGCAGATTCTGCTCCTTATTCTTGCTTTAAGAATTTGGCAGAACTAGAGAATGTACCGGGTGCAGTGATCTTACTCTGGGCAGGATGCTATTTCTAAGTCTGTGGTTAGAGTGCTGTTATTTCACTTGCAAGGTATTAAAATAATGTAAAGGTCAACAAATGTCTTTTTGGATGGAGTGGAATAGATCCACCACTTACAATTTGCTAAGCAAATGGAAATCGGTCTGGTTGAAATGGAACCAGACATTACTTCCTCCACACTGCCGCTCCCAGTGGAACTGTCGAACCCAGCAGGGCTGCAGTTCTTGGACATCCACATTCCCTCCCTGTTCCTGCATGCTAATGCCCTTGTCTAACCTGTGTTTAGAAATGCTTCTCTACCTTTGCTGCTGAGGAATTCCAATCTACCCTCATTCAAGAAAGGAAGAAAGCTCTCCTGGTTCCTACCAGCTAGCATGGTGGAATCACGTCACTTTCTACTTAACTCAGTTATGACCAACAGCACCATCATCACCTTAAAAAAAGTAAATTTGAATGAGAAAGTTCAAAGTATTGTTCAGAAAAATATAATTTCTGCTGCTTTGATCCAATGACAAAGGTTTCATGTTTTGTTTTAGGCCTTGCACATGCTAGGTAAGCACTCTACCCTCAAACCCCAAAGTATGTATTTTTAATTGGAAAAGAAATATTGACTCAATTCTGAGTGGTATCTTATTTTAGAAAATACCAAGGTGTCTTTCTTGGAGGGTGAGTGCACTTTAAATTTCTTTCAGAGATAATTGTAGTGAAGATATAATTTATTGTGGTTACGTCCCAGTCTGGATCTGTGGATTATCAGAGTTGTGCTGGGCCTGATTGTACCTCTGTGTGACCAGTGAATGGACAGAGACAAGGGTTCTGATGTCTTTCAGAGACGAAGTTACTGGGCCTGCGAGTCAGTGACAAGGTGCCATTCCTCAGTGGCATGAACAGTCAGAAAGCTCTTTGTCACAATTTGGGCATGACCTGTGATTAAGCAGTGTGGAGTCTCTTCAAGAAATTTTTTGTTAAAAACAAGGAGTCACTGGTCTCTTTGCCTATCCCTCTGACCTCGGAGTTTGAAAGTCTGCTAAACCCCCAAAGCCTGGAGCTATAGCACTTCTGCTGCTTGAATGAGCTTTGTTTTCAGATTTTAATTCTGGCTATAGTTGAGCCATCTCTTCCCAAGACCAACATGCCATGCTGTATGGACCCTTGCTTTGGCTGATTCAAATGCTGCTCCTTCCTGTGCTCTGCATCACTGCCTGCTTTGTCCTGGGGAAAAAGGCATTACTGTATCCATGTTCCTTCCACGCACCCTGCTCTGTCACACCCCATTAGCAAAGATTCCCCTCCTCTTCAGTGATGCTCTTGCTGCTCCCCAGCTCCCTGCTCCTCCCCCACCCCATCTGCCCAGTAACTCCATTTTCTCCCCTCTGCAAAGCAGCTTCCGGCTCAGACTAACATGATTCTCAGCATGTAGACTCCCAGAATCTTGATGCTGAAGAAATGTCAATGAGGCCTCAGCCCTGCCCCTGCCTTGAATCGAGACACTACCTGAGCCAACTCATATGAGTGTGACTCTTAACCAGTTCACAGTATTCAGGCAGTATTTATTGAGCCCCTGCCATGTGCCAGGAAATATTCAAGGCACTGGGATGCAGTGCAGAAATGAGACAATGAATTTTTCTGTCTTTTTATGGTTTGTGTTCTAGTGTGTAGGAATGGTGGGAGTGGGAGTGGGAGATTGAAAGTATGTGTGCCATAAGAGGTAAGACAGCAAAAAAAAAAAAAAAAAAAAGAAAACGATTAGAGAACAAAGATCAGATCCTACAGCACTCCCACTAAGGAGATGCTCGAGGTTCTTGTCACCAACAACCTTCATTGTCTGTCACTATCTCCATCAGACAGTCAGATACTGCTAAACTTGCCTCGGTAAGAGAGCCTTCCAGCACCAGCTAGAAAATGACAAGAGAAATACTGCTCAGAAGACCCAGAAGGAGCAAGCCCAGCTGTGTGCACAGCCTAATCACAGCAATTGGCTGGAGTCTGGGAATTTGAAGGTGGTGCCACAGGCAGGGTCCAATCACTCCTTTTTGGTTTTTGTTTGTTTGTTTGTTTTGTTTTGTTTTTTTTCCAGTACTGGGAATCCAACTCATGACATCGCACTTGCCAGGCAGGCACTGTGCCGCTGAGCTAAATCCCCAGCCCCTAGTTCCAATCACTTAATGTTACCCTGAGCCACATGCCTTTCCACCTGTTAGCTCCTTCTTTCTGGGAGGAGCTAGTGGTGAATTTTCAGTGGTGAAATGGTAACATTTTATTGCCTAGTTAGCATTAAACCTAATGGTGGTCAATTAAGGTGGCAGAGTCTGGCCATGACAGATTATTTGTGGTCCTTTGGGTGACAGATAAACAAAGCAGGGAACAGTTCAAAGAACAAGAGGTCTGGGCAGGGCACAATTCACTGTAGTAGTGATAACCTAATTCCAGAATAATACCCTCTCTTACAGCCCCAGGAGTTCAGATTCAATGTGGGAAAGATGTAAAAAGTCAGCTCTTAGTGTTCTTAACCCAATGGACAAGGCATCTTGGCTTGGAAACTTTGTTAGCCAAAGATTTTAAATGGTAACCCATTCATGTGTTGTATTGGATGGGACCTGGCTAGCAAAGGCTGATGATCAGATTTCCTGATGATAACTTAGCTCAACGAAGATGCCATAGCTGCAAAGCCTTGCTCATTTTGTGGCATTGGGACTTAGAGAGTTTTACTGCATGCCTAAGAACTGTTAGTTTCTTTTAACAAAACTTCCCTTTGGTGTGTTGTTGGCCATCTCATTATGAGCTGGGAATGGTATCATGTACCAGACTGCAGTGAGTTCTCCAACAGTTTGCTGATGGAGCTTGATCCAGTATCAGTGTGATAGCCTTTGTATTGGACAGCTGAGTTCAGACTCACTACCAGGGATGATACCATTTTATGTTCTAACTCTGAAATGCATATGAAGGTGTACCTATGCCCCAGGGTGGACAAATTGGAGCACAGCAGAGGGACTGACATATAAAATAACCTTAGCCTAGTGCATTAATTAGGATTTTTGTGTGACTGCCTTACAAGACCAAAATAACTGTTAGTAAAAACAAGGTAAGTATTCCCCCCCCCCATATACTTCAGTCCACAGGAAGAAGGTTTATGGTTGTTAAGGTGGCTTGTGCTCCTCCCATCTCATTCCTCTGCTGCTGCTACGTGGTTCCTTTGTCAGCATGGGTTGCAGATGGCTTATCCAGCTCATGTTCTAGTCCTCAAGGTGAAAATAGGAAGGAATGAGTTACTTGCACACTCACATCTGCTCACATCCTATTGTCCGGAGACTAGTAATGTAATCACAGCTAGCTGCAAGGGATGTTGAGAAATGTTGTCTTTACTAGTGAATTATGTGACAAGCTGAAACCTCTGTTATTGGAAAGTAGGAAAGAAATAAAGAAGAACCTGGAAATCTGCCATAACTAGCACATAATGGAGCTTATCAATGTCTCTTTATTAAACTTCCTTTCAGGCTCTCTTTGACAAAATCAGGTTAGTCCTTAATTGCTACAGCTTCATGCAGTCACTTAATTTCTTTTTTTTTTTTTTTTGTACTTAAACACTTACTTGGTGTTCCTCTTGTATGGTACCACTTCAGAGAGCTTATAGTTTAGTAGAGGAGATACACAACAAACAAGTAGAAAATCAAATAAATACTTGTGTCCAATTGTTGATAAATCTTATACAGGAAACAGACTGCTGTGGCAAAAAGTAATGAGAGAGCAAGAACTTGTTTTTTTGGTCTGAGTGTCAAGAAGTAGTCAGAAGGGGTGACATTTTAACAGAGACTTGGGGGGAACAAAGGTGACCATGTGATGAAGTGGGGCTGAAGACACATATCACCCACAGTAGATGGCATGTAAATAAGCTCATATGGGAAAGTACTTGGTGCTTTTTCGGAGAACATAGGGAGCCACTGTGTTGGCAGCACAGTAGGTGTGCAGGAGGTGGTCCAGGAAGGGACAACAGGGGAGGAGATGCAGAAAATAGCTTGATTTTATGTATGTTTTCTAAAGATCTTTCTCACTGCTGAGTAGAAGATTGAAGGCAGCAAGAGTAGAAGTCAAAAGGTAAGGAGCAATGTTTTAGAACTATGTGAAAGAGATGATGGCTTCTTTGCCTGGAGTGGTAGCACTAGAGATGGAGAAATTGCTGGATGAGTTTATGAATTATCTTGAGGGTTTTCTTCAATAGTGGCTT